GGATGTTGATTCATATAAGATTGTATGATCTTCCAGCCCAGCCAGGTGCCTACATTACCTGGACTTTCGGGCGACATGCCGGCTGAACTGGGGCCATCTGTAACATACCTCAGTATCTTTTGCCAGTTAGTATCGTATAACAACTGACCTTTTACTAAAAAGTTATAGATACCAGCCTCATTCTCTTTACACCAATCCAATTGAGCGGTGGTGAAGCCCAGCCGGAGCGCATCCGGCACAAACGGAATGATCTTAGAAAGGAAATATTGTTCTTTGCCTTTTTGAATCATCATATCAAGCAATGTTTTGTTTTCAGTTATAAAGGGTTGTTGCAGGTTATATACCGATTTGAATACATTTACGGGTATGCTTTCAGGTACCAGGTTACGACTTACATAATCCGGGATCTCTACCCGGCTGTAATTCGGATAATCAGCGCCCAACGCCATATCCAGCCCTACACCTATAATATCATCACCATACGTAATAGCACTCCAATTCCTCAAACCAGTTACAAAGTAAATAATTTTTGGTATTTTATACTCAGGGAAATAATATTTCATGTATTTAAATCCTTTCTCAAGTGCAATATCCGTTGTTTTCACATCGGGAAAATGTTTTGCAGTCGTATCAAACACACCCCGAAAATCCTTATGGGTAAGAAAAGTGTACAGGTTGCGGCGGATACCGATTACGGTATCATTATAATGTTGATTAATGCCGAACCCCATGAGCGTATCGAGGTAAAAGTCAATAAAATCAGCATATTTAGGGGCAATCTGTTGCAAACCGGCGGCAATATGTGTCGTGTCAATATTGCGCAGATCAAGGTCTAGTCTGCGGGAATTTATGGAAACTTTAATACTCGATACATCCGGCTGAGATTCCTGACCATTATTACAAGCACTCAACAAGGTGAGTGACAGGCAGAAAACACCCGCTCTTTGTTTCTCCGAAAAAAGTCTTAAAAAAAAGTTTTTTATATGCTTCATACTGATAATCTTACTTTATTTTAGCGCAAAAATAGGTTGCAGAATTGACTCTGGAACGACTTTTGCTGAATCCCGTTTGTAAACATAAAAGACACAATAATGAAAAAAATCCTATTCTCATTTGCGACGGCAGCACTGCTCATCCCGTCTGCAAAAGCCCAGGACATCGATAATACCGATTCACACGGAGCGAACCGTATTCGTTTTGGCGCTTACCTCGCCCCCACTATCTCCTGGATGCGCCCTACAGCCGCAAAAGATGGC